CGAGAGCGCATCTCCTTCCCATCCCCCTCCAAGCCCAGAGTGTGGCCGTATTTCGCTTGTTTTGCTCCAGAAGCCCAGGGCAGTGACTCCGGGAGACTTCTCGAGGGGCCCGAGCCCCACACACAGATCTGTAATCTGTGTCCGTGGGGATCCAGGGTGGGCATGGTCACAGACCTGTGGGCTTGGAGCCCCAAACCCAACATCGGCTCCCTCAGAACGCCCAGCTGCTACCTGAGCCTCCTGCCGGCTGGAGAAACCCCAGGTGCGCCGGCCTGGCCCCTAATTACCCCCGGCGCTCCTGCCGGCGCCCCCTTGCTCTGGCTAGTGCCAGCTGGGCCACACTCCCCAGGCAGGGAAGCATGGCCCTGATCCCTCTCCCAAGTCTGCAAAACACAGCTGGACCTAACACGGCCTTGGGAAGCAGCGAGCCAGGGCTGGACGGATGTGATGTGAGGCCCCAGGGCGCCCCCTGCTGGCTACTGTCGGATCTGACCCCTGGGACGGGGCGGGGGGGGCCCTACTCTCGAGCCCCAAGAAGAACCTTCTGTGCGGTCCCCCGAGTTCCTTGGCTCCATCCTCACCTTCTTCCTCGGAGAGCCCCGCTTAGCGGGCCCCCGAGCACCCAGTGAGACAGGACACCCCTCCGGGCCCCTTGGGGAGTGGATCCCCTGGTCTGGACCTTCTTCCTCACCTCGCCGCTTCAGCTGGCCATGGAGGCAGGGCTGCTGTCTTGAGGCTAGCGGGCAGCTCAGGGGGACGGGGTTGCAGGGGGGAAAGCCCCACCAGCAGGGCAGGCAGAGGGTGGGCCATCCCAGCCACTCCCGCCACCCCGTGCCCCTCTGAGTCACCGCGGCTGCGTGCCCGGGACGCTTGGAGGGCCTGGGCGGACAGGGACCCCGCCGGCGCCTGCCCCTTGCCGCCTGGCCTCCCTCCCAGCCCTGCTGTGTCAGCATCCCCGGACCAGCCTGCGCCAGCTCGGGGCGGCGAGTGTGCTGTAAATCAGCCTGGCAGCCCCGGTCCCCAAGGACACAGCTCAGGCCGCGACCTTGGCCGGAGGGTGTCGGGAGAGCTGCCAGCGGCCATTTGGAAAACTCTGACATGTTCCAGAGCGCAGGAGAAGGAGAAAGGAAGGTTGCTGGAGCAAGAAGACAGAGCAGCCGGCCCTCGGCCCCCGCAGCGCCCGTCCGGCATCTGGTTCCCAAGGGTGCGGAGAAGACCCCATTTCACAGCCGTCAGACACCGCCCCCGCCTGTCACCCTGGGACGGTCTTTAGCCTTGGCGCCATGGACACGGAGGGTCGGGGAATTCTTTGCAGCAGGACTGAGGTTCATCCTGCGCATTTGCCCCTGGCATAGGCAAGTTGGGTGCAAAATTGCCCCGGGTTGAGATCACGGCCTTTGGAGGAAGAGATAGACATGCCCATTTTGCAGAGGGGTAAACGGAAGCTCGGAGAGGCCTGAAGTCACCACTGCTAAGAGGCAGGAGCAGGCTGAAGCCTCGGCAGCCCTAGGTGGGTGGGCTGGCAGGCGGGCAGATGCCCACCCACTGCCACCTGCCCCCGGCCCTGCCCCTCCCTGTCAGCCAGGCCAAGCAAGGAGCCCAGGACCTCGCTGGAGGGTGGTCCTCCCCCGCCCGCCCCTGCCCCGCCTGCCCTGCCCTGCTGCGCCCTCAGCCCCCTAAATAAACGGGGCTGCTGCGTCAGCCGTTCCTGCCTGCCTGCCGTGCCTTACAGTTAGGAGGCATTTATGGGCACCCAGGGAGCAGCTGCGGCGTCTTGTGGCAGGCTGGGGTGACCTGGGCAGGACGAGCCCCCCTCTAGCTCCCTGACACCAGGTCCCCCCTCTCCCAAGGGACCCCAGTCTGTCCTGCACATCTCGGGCCCGAAGAGTAGAAGAAAAGCTTTCTGATTTATTGACCTTTTAAAAACACAAATCAGAAGAAAGCAAGTTAGAACGTACAGAAAACAAAGTCATCATAATTTTTAAATTAAAATTATCCTCAGTTCTTCATCCAGAGCTCATAACTGTTCATACTTTCTGATAGATATTTCTAGCACTTTTCCATAAAACAAAACCCACGCACAGACATTGCCCCACCCTTCCATCTCAGCATTTGAAGGGTACTTCTGTGCTGAGGATTGACATTTCTTGTTTTTTAAAATTGTTTTTTCATATTTTTGGAGGGCTCGAGTGTGATATTTTGATACATGTATATACTATGCAATGAGCAGATCAGGGTAACTGGTATATTTATCACATCAAACATTTATCATTTCCTCGTGTTAGGAACATTCAAAATCCTCTCTTATAGCTGTTTTGAAGTATAGTATAAATTATAAGCCAGGTGCGCTAGCACATGCGGGTAACCCCAGAAATCAGGAAGCTGAGGCAGGAGGATAGCTACATGGAGAGTTCAAGGCCAGCCTGAACTCTAAAGTGCGATCTTGACTCAAAAATAAACCCTAAATAAATAATGACTTACCAACCACAGTCACACTGTGCTACAGAACATGAGAACTGACTCCTATAGAGCCGTACTGATGGATGTTATTTTAAGGAGCCTCACCCTGACACTAAGAAGTGGCTCTGTCTGTTGGTTTGTTTGTGGTTTTTTGGTTTTTGAGACAGGGACTCACTATGTAGTCCAGGCTGGTTTTGAACTCACTATATAGCCCAGGTTGGCCTTCAACTCAATCCTCCTGCCTCAGCCTCCCTAGTGCTGGGATTATAGGTGTGTACCACCGTGACTGGGAAAGCGGGCTCTGTTGAGACACCCATTTTACAGCTGCACACACTGGATGCCAAATGTGTCCTGCCAGGAATCTGAGCTACAACCTCCACCCCCGCAAATGACTGGGTAATTTAATTATCAAAGGAGAGAGTAGCTAAAGGTTCACGGGACCCAGAGGCGCATGTCAGGACAGCTAGAGGCAAGGAGAGACTGCAAAGCCAGGAGTCACAGCCCATCACCCAGCCAGGGTGGTTGGAAGAGTTGGACCCACATGCTGCCTGGGTGCTGCCCTCAGCCCAGATGTCCCTGCCTGGCCTGCCATGTACCAGCCCTGGTGCCCCGCACGCACACCCACTCCTTCAAGAGGAAGGGGACAAAGCAAGAACACTGGGCCCCAGAGTGAGTCACCTGGGTCACAGCCAGGGAGAAGCAGGATCCAGAAAGCAAACCCTCCTGGTCCTCGCCGGCCACACTGAGCTGGACATCCGTCCACCTCTGCCTTTCTTTTATTTTAGCCTGATATACAAAATGCAGCACTGCGCTCAGAATTTCAAAGGCGGTCTTTGGCAATAAAAAAGAAATCCAGTCCTCACGCTTGCATAATTTTGCCCGGCCCACC